GTCAAGACTCTTAATAAAGTAATGAATTTTCTGCAACATTCAATTCAAATCACAGTACCAAAATAAGTTGGCAGTTTATAATATAGTAGTGTATACTCCAAATATACCAATTTTAATATGAGTTAAATTGTCTTCACTCTATTAATTGATAACTTAAGTTAACAAGTTGGTTTCTCATGGTAGCATTTGTAGACCAACTGACGCATCTGAATAAATTTGACTGAGTGTATACAGGTTCAAACAGGGACAAAAAATTCTTCTTAAATTAACTAGAAATTCCACATCTCATATTTTTTAATTCTTTTTTCTCTTTCATGTTGATACCATCATACTCTACATTTTCATGTGAGGAATTTCTTTTAAATTTTTTATTTATTAAGATACAAGCATTTCTTTCAGTAAGATAGTAGTAAATCAGCCATATCTTGTTCAATATTGAAATATAAGAAAATTCCTCACACAAATCTCAAGATTTACATAGTAATAACTTTAAAATGATTTTTAATGATTTTTAAATCTGTTGTGGAAAGAGAAGAGACATTAATAAGAAAGCATTCAAACTCTTGACACAAGAATGTGTTCCGGCCATCACGCGGCAGGCCGTGGGAATGTCCGCGTCGACCTTTGCAAATGCCGACCCCCAATATGTGTGATAGCCTTTTAGGGAGAATTCTGAGGGTCTGTGAAACATTCGTGCTTTCTGTGGCAGTGAGTTGCACATTTCTACAACTTCAGTCGGACAGCATTCTAAATATATGCTCTGTCCGGCGCGATTCCGGATTGTATGAGCATTTGATCAGCTGGTGAAGGTGTTTGCAATTTGTTCAGTCGGATTGGGGCACAGAGATGCAGGATGCCCACAGTCCTGCAAGAAAGTTGAACTTGTTGTTGAGTGCTAGTTTGTTGATACAATATCTGCCACCAAGCATATAATATCAATATAATCCTGAAGTAATTACTGATTCTCATTTTTTAGAATATCACACACTGTCTTATGTTTTATTTTTTGTTTCAACTTAACACAGAAAGATTGTACTCTTGTTTTCATATCGAGCAGGTCCTGCGTTGCTCCCTATTTTCCCACTTCACTTATAGCCAATCCTTTAAGTTATAAAAACTATCTTGAGATCCTCCGTGCTGTTATCTGATTCTGTCTCTGTTTCGAAGAACTAAGTGTTTGTTAAGCAGGATTTGTCAAGTGTAAGAGTGTATTCGTGGGAACGGCTTTCGTCACCAACCGCGGTGCAGTCACCAGCGCTAAGGTTAAGTCATAAACTTAATATGAACACATGAGCACGAAGAAGCGACTGAAGTCCAACCTTGCAATGATGAGAATCACAAGCAGATGCACTTGTCTACCTGTCAGCCCTATGCTCCCGAACTAAAAATAAAAGCTATATGAAGCGGCGTCCTTGCTGGCCATAATGCTTCTTCTACCCCTCGAGCGCTGGCATGCATACCTTCATCCCCTCCTGTATCCTCTTCATTTCCGCTCAAGTAGTATTCGCCAAACTTGATTCGCGTTCGTCACAGCGATTGGATGGAAACAATGACATAGGCGTAGACTTAGACATTGGAACTGCTAACATGGTCTCGTCTGCTTGGTACACTGGGTGGCACGCTCAGGATTTCACGCTTGATGATGTGCCTTGGAACAAGTACACACATTTAACGTATGCTTTCAGGTGATATATTTCTTTCTCTTCTTTTGTAGTTACATGCTTACTGATGCTCAAATTTACATGTCGACAGAGAAACCACACAAGATCCTTCAAATATCACCCTCCCTGAACCCGGTGCTCGACTCCTTCCTCAATTTGTCGCCAAGGCGCACGAAAACGTAAGAGCTATAAATCAACGATATCTTTATTCGAGGTTTATCCGCTCCGACGTTATCTTTCCATAAAACTGATGTCGATTATCTATACAGGGCGTAAAGGCATTTCTGTCGCTAGGTGGCTGGACCGGATCGCAATACTTCTCAACTAACGTTGGCAATGAGAAGAACCGCACGAAATTTGTCAATGCCATAAATGAACTCGTGTCCTTGTATCATCTTGATGGTATCGACTTTGAGTACGTCAGACTTCACATTCTGTTTTAAGAATTCTGTTTTATGTCCTTGCGTACATAGCTGGGAATCTCCTGGACATCAGGGCATCGGATGCAACACAATCTCACCAAACGATACTGCCAATTTTCTGTCACTCCTACAAGAACTTCGTAGAACGCCGACTGGCTCCTCTATCACGATATCTGCTGCAGTCGGTCTCACACCATTCGCTGACGAAACGGGACAGCCCTCCACCAACGTTACTGGCTTCGCCAAAGTCATAGATTATATCGAAATCATGAACTATGATGTCTGGGGTAGTTGGAGTACCAGCGTCGGCCCGAATGCACCGCTTAACGACACCTGCGCGAGTGCGGAACACCAGCAAGGCAGCGCTGTCTCAGCAGTTGCGGCATGGACTGCCGCGGGCATGCCACCGAATCAAATCGTACTCGGAGTTGCTTCCTATGGCCACTCATTTGCCGTCAACGCATCCTCTGCGTTCAACGGCACCAACTCCAAGACGGAACTCGCTCCTTACCCAGCATTTAACGCATCCGAATTTCCTGTCGGCGATGCATGGGATGACCAGCCAAGTATTGACATTTGCGGCGTTTTCGAACAACAAGGCGGCGAGCAGGACTTTTGGAATCTAGTAGACTCGGGGATGCTTCTTCCAAATGGCACACCCGCTCCTAACACCCCCTATCGCTTCGACGATTGTAGTCAGACCGATTACGTTTACAACACGACTGCGAGTGTGATGATCAGCTACGATGGACCTAGAGCATTCGCTGCGAAGGGCGAGTTTATTAAGAACGTGGGCTTGCGAGGATTTGCAATGTGGGAGGCTGGTGGTGATAAGAATAACACACTGCTCAATGCTATTCGAGCTAGCGCTGGATTTGACAACTATATTATTTGATTTTAGTATTGTGATAAACCTTATATTAGGCTCGTCTGCCTGCACCGTTCACCATATCTCGGGATCAGTATCAATCGAGACTGCTGCAGCCCTCATTCTAGTCGGAATGGAACTCGGATGAAGAACTTAGATGCCAATATTGATGGTCTAAATAGCACTTGAAGGTCCCCATCAACAAAACATGTGAGATTATAAAGGGCTGTATCATCCTAATATGACCAGGATGCGCAGTATAATGTATTTGAATAAGACACGTCGAATAACCTTAGCAAGTAGAGTTGCATTATGCTTTGTTTGTGGCATTTTCCTTCCACGCTTGGAGCATCACAACATAGTACGATGTGGTGTCAATGAAATATGGAGAAGGGCACAATGTAAACAAGGTCTCACTTTCCTATGTGGAGTAGCGAAGAGCTTTGTAGCCGGCACAAGCACGATTGCTGGAAGTCTCTGCAGAGGCGTGTGTTATACAAAGCTTCGAAACCATGGTGAGACTTGTAGTCGCAGTTCCACTGCAGAAGTTGAATGCAGATTCCAAAAAAATTTGCGTTTCACTTGAGGTATTTGAGTGTACAGCAAAAAGTAGAGCATTTATTCCTCCATTATCAATCAACGAATTCATATCCAACTAATGCTACCATTCAGTTCGTACACTGGAACCCTATAGGATCAACCACATTGCTACATTCAATCTCCCTCCCAGATCCATTTGTCTGGACCGCATCAAACCCGAGTAGGCTAATCTCGGGACATGGAGCGGCGGCGCTGCACTGTAATTCCGCAAGGATATCCGTGTCCACAGTCCCACGGATATTCTCCCAGGTAATGTCAGAAATCTGGAACTGCGAAGTATCGCATCCACCGGTTTGTCCGTTGTATGACGTGCATTGCGTAATGTACGCCGCGGAACGAGTCAAGTTTCCCACCTCAAAGTCCCTGAATGCTGAAAATAGGCTTTAATATTCAGCTACATAATTCAGAAGCCTGAAGCGCCACTCACTGATATTTCTAGCATATCCGATTCCACCTCCTCCACCTATAGACATTTCAATCAGCTAGTGCGCAATTTGATAATGACGGCGACGCTTTATACCGTTAGGTGGGAATCCTTTCTGAATACCAGTCCACGTCTTGACATACCCAGGTTGTGAGCACTCTGTGCAAATGATGCGCTCCGCAAGTACGTTCTCGATGAATTCGTATACTTCCAAGTATTGCCCAATAGAGCCTATCGCAATGCCACCGCTATGGTAGAAGTGTGAATCCTGCACTAATATATTCGAGGAGTTGGCCTTCGGAGAAATGGCGTCATCTCCGTTATCGACAGTCCAATTTCGGAACACCAAATTGTTGGAATAAAACGTATCAACGCCATCAGTATTCTGTACAGGGTTCTAATAGAAATAATAGAGATGATCAAACTCAGAGTTCACGGATTTAAAGCGGGGGAAAAGTACTTACCGAGTTGTTCGAAGTACTATTGACGTAAATATTCTGGAGCAAGAGATTCTCGGAATACGTGATTGCCATGGACCAAAACTGGGATTGAACAAATCGCATGCCATCGAAGACGGAGTCAGATGTATTCGTAATGACAAGACTAATAGGCCGTCCCGCTAAGTTCGAGGCTCCCGCCGCAAGGTCGTACCTAGAATGCTGTCTCAACTATCGAGGTGATTGCTAGCCAGGATTCATCGACGTACCATAGTTGCCCGTTTCCGTCAAATGTTCCAATATTGTGCCCCACCCATAAGATATCAGTTCCACCGAGCCTCCACGCCGTTGTCTGATTTTGGTACCCTAGTGGAAGGCTGTTGTTTCTCCAATAATCGAGATCAGTACCCCACTGCATGACCATAATTAATAGACTACCAGGGAAACCCTTCAACTTGAACGTACTAGAAGATAGCCGCGATTGTCAATCTTGACATTTTTCAACCCAGTCGTGTTCATGACACTTTCAATATGATAAGTGCCGCTCTCAAATATGATGGTACTGTCCTCAGAGCATCGCTCGAAGGCCGTTACAATTGCCGGAGAGTCATCACCACCAGATGCGTCCGGGCTGAGTCTGCAAACTTTGTTCGCAAGCTCAGGATTGAATCGTCCAAGGACTAAGACAAGGAGCGATGAGAGGGCCAGCAACAGACCGAGCATCTTTGGATTCTCGTTGAAAATTAGCAGGAAAGGATAAAATTTATATCTTTCCAAGAAGCTAACACGTTCGTTGCGGTCCGCTCAGATATGTCAGGTGCCACCAAGAACATCACAGAATTTGTTCGTTCAAACGTCATGTGCAAGTGCCATGGCTGCGATGATCGGACGAAGCAAAAGAGAGAAGAAAATGTATTTCGGTTGTAGACGGACTCGAAACAACTAGCAGAAGAGAAACGAGAAGGTTCCAATGACAGATGCATCATGGTATGTTCAAGACGGCTCCGAAGAGGGAAACTTGAATTTGAAAGCATCCGTATCGCGTATCACATGACAAAGGAATGGCACGTGTGAAGGAATCTAAAAGATTAACATTCCATAATTTAGAACGACAGTAGTCAATGCCTCCTACACATTCTACTTTACAGACTCAAAGATATCATTCACTCTTTACCTTGCTATTAATGTTTCCAAAATTACTGCTGGCAATAAGTAGGATAAATCTGCTCCTAACATACACAATCCTTTCATTGACTTTAATCAAAAGGACAATTTTTACAATACAACTACAAATGTGATAATAAGCAATGCATTGCTAGTCCCGGAGGAGCATTTGCTGCACAGAGTACCTTTATTTGAAGCGTTGGTCGGTTAGTTTAGCTTTACAATGTGGGAGGCTTGTGACAAGAATGGTATTGTTTTAGACCCACTCGTATAGCTGTTGGCTTCAACAAGGATTGCTTGCAGTAATAGTCTTTTTATAGTTTTGCTGCCAAGTCTAAGTACTGCTTGTTTCAGTCGAAATTGAGAATACATGTATTGTGACAACAACATATTCATGGACCAGTTACTACTCTAACTACTTCAGCTCCTGTATCTTATCCGTTCGTACACTGAAACCCTACTGGATTAACGATATTGCTACACTGGATCTCTCTCTCCGATCCATTCGCCTGAAGCATGTCGAATCCAAGCAAACTAATTCCGGGACACGGAGCAGATCCACTGCACTGCAACTCTGCAAGGACATTCGTGTCTATAGTCCCTCGAATATTCTCCCAGGCCATGTCTGATAACTGGAAGAGCGACGTGTCACATCCGTCTGTGGCTCCATCGAAAGATGTGCATTGTGTAATGTATGCTGCTGCACGTGTTAAGTTCTGTACTTGAAAATCTCTGAACGCTAACCCAATTTCATTATAAGCTGACGGATATTAGCAGTTCCAAGCAGCACTCACTTATATTCCTAGCATAACCAATACCTCCGCCTCCGCCTGCGGGTAGAGGTTTGTTAAATAATCGATGGATCGTGAAACAGTGCAACCCGTACCGTTAGGAGGATAACCCTGCTGGACACCAGTCCATGTCTTAACGTAAGCAGCATATTGACACTCGATACAAGTGATGCGTTCTGCAAATACGTTCTCAATAAATTCATACACTCCAGGATATTGCCCGATTGACCCAATCGCAACACCAACTCCATGGTAGAAACGTGAGTCTTGAATCAAAATATTCGATGAATTGGCCTTCGGGGCTATGAAGTCATCGTCGTTGTTGACAGTCCAATTACGGAATACCAAATCATCAGAGTAGAAAGTGTCAACGCCGTCAGTGTTTCGGGCAGGATTCTGGGAAGCATTTATTAATAGCGAATACAAGCAATAAACAAAGAGATTCTTGCGTGATTCATCGATGTACTGTTGATATAAATATTCTGGAGTAGAAGGCCCATGGAATACGTGATTGCCATTGTCCAAAATTGAGACTGAACAAATCGTATTCCATCAAAAACAGAGTCAGAAGTATTTGTAATAACAAGGCTGATAGGCCGTCCTGGAAGATTCGAAACTCCTTTTGTCAGATCATACCTGGGACCTCGTTCAGATATGCACTATAATGTTTATATTCAAGATAAATTAGACATACCAAAGTTGCCCGTTTCCGTCAAATGTCCCAATGTTGTGTCCTTCCCATAGTATATCGGACCCACCAAACCTCCATGCCGTCGTCATATTTAGGTACCCAAGCGGAATACCATTTTCTCGCCAATAATCGAGATCAGTACTCCACTGAAGAACCATCATGAACACGCGAATTCCAGAGTTTCCGAACATAACCTCACGAGAAGATAACCACGCATGTCGACCTTGACATTTTTCAACCCAGTTGTGATCATAATTCTTTCGATGTGGTACGTGCCGTTCTCGAATACAATGGTACTGTCCTGAGAGCATCGATCGAAAGCCGCCATAATTGCCGGAGAGTCATCACCACCAGATGTGTCCGGGCTGAGCGTGCACGCTTTTGTCGCACGCTCAGGCAAGAATCGAGCAAGGATCAAGCCATGGAGAGAAAATATGAGTAACAGTAAGTGAAAAATCATCGCAACGAAGTATTTCACCCGGCAGTGAGAAGTACATTTATATCAACGACATGAGACGAAGGATAACCATCGGTCCGCTCCCACATATCAGCTGCCTTAGCCTGCCTAGCAGATAGGTGCACGAAATAGACGCGTCTGTGTCATGTGTGAGCGTCATTGGATTTAATTATCGGATGAAACACGGTAGCTAAGCTGACCACCAACGATTACTCCTAAACGCGGAGTCTGAATATGTCGCGCGGAGATTGAACGCCTCCACTTTTGTCTCACGCACATCTTAGCGCTTCGTCAGCAAACACGGCGACCACAATGTCGAACATTGAGATATCTCAAGGACTTCTCCACTTGCCTGGTTCAAACCATGAAACGAAGGCGTTAGTACAAAAGTTGCTGGAGGAAGATCTCAAGAAGCATCATTGCTTCTACGGAAAACCCGGCTTCCATAACCACTTACCACACCAGTAAGTGTTACTTTATCCAGAATGCGTTCTGTGGCTTGAAACAGTGATAATGTCAATGAGCCTTCTCGCGTTATACGACCTTGGGGCTCCAGCAAAAGTGATGCAAGATATGTACAATCTAGAAGCCGAGGTACAAAGCCCAATCAATCTTGTCGACCGGAAGAACGAAACTGTTGCCCAATTGGATCTTACCATCACGAAAGAGAATTGGACCGAGCATCTTGGGCGCGAAGAGTATGTCCGGTCCGTTAAACTCTAGTTAAATTTCCGGCCTAAAGATTGAATAGGTACTACATCGCTTACCTTGAATTCTTCAAGACAGAAGTTCAGAAGGGAGTACCCGAATGCCTGGAGGAATATATTTTCTCTCCAAAAGCAAATGGAAACGAGAATTGCATGCTACTGAGAATTGTTGGTGGAGCGTACGCATGATCCAAATTTCTCTGCATAGTGACTCACCAGGGCTACAGTGCACATCCGCTAATACAAATTGGCGTAAGTTTTAATGTATCTCGAGTTTCACATGACTAACATGCATAGCAGTACGGAGTCGAATTTAACATGCCTGTCATAGCTGCCTCAGGTTTGCCATAGTTATACACCCTTGCCGCTGATGACTAATCTTAAGCTCCAGGACTGGCTGAAGTTGCAGTAACTAAACCTATTCCGCCGGCCTTGTATGATGATACTCCCGGCTCATCTGCGAAGAATGCAACGGTTCTATCCATAATTAAGCAGATGTACGACTCGGAAATATTAGTGCCGGTCATGCCATATCAACCCGAAGCATTCATCAGCGCACGAATGAAGGACGCAACGTCGAACGGCCGACCTGAAGAAATCTGTAGACTCTCCTCACAGATTCCGATCGAAGAGAACCCAAATGTCTCCGACCTCGACTCGCGCGTGAAAGAGTTGATCTGGGCTGCAACACTTCTCTTGGCATCAACAGGAAAGCATGAACGAAAGCCTCGTCTCGACTTCTTCCTCATGCATTTGCTTACATCCTCGCACTTTCTACCAACGTTGATCCATGCAGTTAAGACCCCGATAAACGCAACGCGCCTTCTCCGCATCTACGTATCAGTGCTGCTATTCCTTACGCTTCTTCGTGGCCGTCCACGAATTGACCCAACACTCATCATGACATACCCTGATACACCACGCCCTCCCAACTCGAAAGGCAATCCTGCAGATGTGAATCCGTGGCCGGCTATCATCGACGAAGTCATTCACGCACCAGATTCGCATACTGTTAAGACAATCCGCTCGTTGTATTATGCTGCACAGCACTATGGTGAGACGCCTCCTGGAGGCGCAATTGGAGCTTTTGACGACACCGGAAAGGAAATCTTGAGGGGTGCCGGAAAGCTGGATGGTACTATCTTTGTCCGTGCCGCAGGTATTGTGATGAATAACATGGGATGGCTCACGCACGGTCAGGAAGAGGGGAAGTGGGATAGAAGTGCGCTTGGATGGGATGATGCGTGGAATACTCCAGACTAGGAACCGATGAAATTCTCAAAGAGAAACCAATCATGTAGTCAGTGTATTATGTGTAACAGTACGTAAAAGTTATGATTGAGTTTAATAAGCCCTGTTCGTCTGTGATTTCTGACATCATATCAACCGCCTTGCTAAATGATTCCCATACCCAGTCTCACTCAAAGCATGCAACAAAATTGTACTTTTTGCAGCATTTCACCACTTCCGACCTGATCACAGTTTCCGAAGGATGGTCCATTCGAGAGAATATCAGATAGTAGAGAACTGCTATAGTATGCCAGTCAGACCTTCAGAATTCCTACTTCCAGTGGACATAAAACTCACGACAATTCACATGTACTGCTTGGACCACTTGTAATTATTCAACCAATCGAGCCTTTCGTCTCTCCGTCCTTTGAATGGGATGAGGGACTGCAGACATCCTCATAATCCATGGTGACTTCCTGCTCGAATGGAATGCATTAATTCACCAACTATGACTTGAATCAGACAAACATGCAGCAAAGTAGAAGAACATACATTGTGTACACCAGCCATTGGAGAGCTAGTAGTGTATGCTAGTCAAATCTCAATAGCCTTGGTGATTCTTACTTTGGTGATATAAAGCTTACAAGGGACCAGAAGTAAGACCCGATCCACCCAATCCACCTGAGCACTTGGAACCTAGGAATTTGCAAATAGCATCACGTATAGAAGCTTCCTAGACAGATGACATTTAATTATAGTCCATCTAATTAGAAAAAATTCATATCAGACCAGCACGTAACAAGAGAAACGACGGACGTGGCGGCTCTGAGGATTCACAAGTGTGTCGAGGGCAGCATAGTCGCGATTGCATGTGTTGTGACACTTGAGAGCAACAGCCTTCTGGATGACACTGAACAACAGGAAACTGACAGAGGTACATTCCTTGATGTTGAACATCATGTTGGTTTGATGAATCCAAAGAGTGCAAGATGCAGCGTTCCCCTTTATATACAGTATATACATTGCCTCTCACGAATTCGGGCATCAAGCTTGTTACAAAAGGAAACATACATCAGACGTGCTCACGACAGGCCATTAATCAAACTGAATTAATTATCTTGTCTTGAAGATGCTTTGAATTGCTTGGGAACTGGATACTGCAAGCGTTGTTGTGTAAACTCTCATTTGTTTAATGGCTTTGTACAACTAATAGACTTTCAAAGGAAGAAGCACAAGTGTGCTGCAATCGAGGAAAACCTGCTGATGCATGATGTAGGGGCTTTGAAGAACCGAAACGAATTACCTAATCAAGCAAGATACCGGCAGGAACAAGTGAACAGGCCATGCCGACTGGAAAGGAAATCTTGAATAATGCAATCATATTTGTCAATACTACCAATATTATGATGAATAACATGGAGTGGTTCACGCACGGGTTAAGGGCTGAAATGGGGTAGAAGCACAGTCATTTTATGTCTTTCCAGCTATGTGACTTATGACTCATGAGTAGAGAGTAAATTCGCATGAGGCGTGGTAAGTCTCCCATGTGTTTAGGTAGCCAGCTTGCGTCATACTGTTTCTGCAACAATTTTGTGGTTTAGATGATAGAGTCTCTTATGGGGGGTTGTTTATTGGGGAGCAAAGTAGGAAACGAATGATTAGCAAACATGAAAATAAGGATATAGTGCACAGATAGAAAACGAACTAAGGATTCTCCTTTTGTAATATACCTCTGACGACACGTCCCATAGAAACAATCCCATGCTATCTAACCAAACGACATTACCCTTTTCAGGGGACAAAGAAAGTGACGCGTGTGCCCGACAGTCTAAATCTCGAACCCGTATGAACGCATGCACTTGACGTGAGCAGCTACGAGTGCCTTGCATTTCTCGTTTGCGACATCCGGGTCAGTCTGCATGTAGCATTCGTCTCGCGCTCGTTTCGTGTCTGGACACGCACAGCACCTGAAGGGATAATGTTTGTGATTAGGCTCGTTTAAAAAGCCCGGACTAATCAAACGCACGGCTTGAGACCTTGGGGATTCAGATTGACTGGTTTCGTCTCTGGAGGCAGGGTGCCCCACCAACCTGTGAGCTGTCATTACAAGAGTTGTGCTTCTTCAGTTATTTCTTCGCCACGCCAAACACTCAATAGCATACCTTCTCGAACATATCCAACAGCGTCACAGGTGTAACGACTCAGAAGGAAGGATGAAGTGACAAATGTTTCTTCGGATAGGCCCTGGCATGGTAACCATCCGCGCGTACCGCGATCCATACCGTGGTTTTTTCTTACCGCGGTAAATTTTCTCACGGTTACCGCGGTAAACCACCGTACCGTGCCAATCTTCGAGTACCACTGTAGAATATAACTATTCTTTTTTCTACTTAATTCTCAGTTGATAATCTTATTGTTTCAGATTAAATATAAGTATATACAATATAATTGTTTTATTTAGTAATAAATAAAGACATTATTAGGGTATATATTTTAAATTTCTACAATGAAAGTCCTCCAAATCAGCATGAAAAAAGTAAGGAATGGTGGATTAAGACATCTTTTGTCTAATTATTTCAATTGCATGATCAATAGTAGGAAATAAAGGAGTTCCATCCCAAAAACCAACAGCCATTTTAGCTTTGAAAGTGTTTGAAGAAGTGGAATGTTGTATAAAATTAAGTTGACACCTTCCAACAGAGAATGCTCTTTCTGCATCAACTGAGGTAGCTATAACAAAGAAATAGATAAGACTCTTAAATATATAAGGAAAATATAACAGAAAGTAAAGCTTACCAGGAGCAGAGCAAAAGTCTATTCCCATCCAAGCTATACTAGGCTGATATGCCTCTATAGAATACTAGTATTGTATAACTCTACCTGAAGACTGAATAGTTAATGTAGAGACTTGAGGTTCAGACAAATAAGCTTGTATTGCATCATATGGACCTTCATCAATAGTATCACACTGAGTGAGATAGTGTGAACAAGACTAAAAATATATTAGACATATATTATATAATACAAATGAAGTACTTACTGGCTGTAAAGGGCATGTTTGTCTAGATGAAGATGTACAATTTGGATTGTATTACTTGTAGGACTGCTCCCAGCATTGGATTACAAGACTCTAGATCTCTTGAACCACAGTTTCAGGAAAGTTCCTCTTAGTAAACTATTCCAACTTCTTGTCTGGCAACATTACTGTATAACAAACACTATTAGAATCCTGTTACAATTTTAAGAATGTAAATAACATACCAACAGTAATAAAATATACTTCACACTCTCTAGTGAGAGTGAAGTACTTGTCACAAACAAGTATTCCAGCTCTAGCAGCAATACAAAGAATGTTAGGCAAATTCTCATCCTTACTAGCACATTCAAGTGTCTGACAAATGTCAAGCAACATAGGAATTACATCAGAAATGAGAGGAACCTCTGCTTTTGAAAAAAGTTGAGTAGGTTCCTCAAGAATCTGTATATGAAATAGGTTAGAAGAGTTAGATAAGTACTGTAAGGACTTACTGAAAGAACATGAAGTAAATCTTGTACAAGAGTTTGTTGAGAAGAATTAAGAATGAAATTTTGAAGTTTCAAATGCTGGACACCAATTAACTGTTCAACAATAGGGTATAAGAGGAGGTATGATTCAATACAAGCAAAATCAGAATTCTACTGAGTAGCAACTTAGCAATCCAGCATTTACTTATTACCATCAATTTTAGAGTTAGGATTATTAACTTCAGTATCAACCAACTTATCAAACCATTCCTTCAAATGTGGTGAATCATTCACCTGTTTTGTAAGACTAGCAATCTAATTATTATTTTAGTATAATATATTTGAAAGAAAGAGTATGAATACCTTATATAAAACCATTTCTGTACTCTGTAACTTATTCTGCTCAACCTGTACACCCCTTCCTTACATGTTAGTAATGGCTTTGTTTTAAATAGAAGTAGTAACATATGTATCATGAACTGATTGCCTATCATCATATGTACTAGTATTATCCTTAGTAAGAGAAGTAACAAGCTCCTCTTCCTCAGGTGTAAGCTGCTCTCCAGGTTCAATCACAACCTCAGTCAGAGAAGGATTAGGATTACTATAGAGCTGATAGACCCTAATCTTGACAACTTTACACAGCTTTGCTAGACAGAAAAACAACAAAAGGACTGTCTAGACATAAGTAGTAAATAGACAGTGTAGTATAACTTGTAAAATACTATACTTACCTTTGTAACAAGATTGACAATGTGAGCAAAACAATGTACACACAATTTCATACTATGAAATGTTAGTACAAGCTTTTCTAGCTCAGTCACTATTGTATTACAGTTACCTGCATTGTCTATACAGAGTACATGTACTTATAACATAGTAATCAGTAATGTACAGAACATTCATAGGAATGACACATACATGCTTAGTAAGTTTGTATTACTAAAGGTACTGTATCAGTTCCTAGGCCAGATATTGACCTGTATAGCCCTGAGTCAGGCTAAAAGAAATATTTGTTAGGACCTTATAGTGTAGAGCTATTTAGACTGCCTTAATAATCTGAGAGATGATAGTCAAGGACAGTAATAACAACATGACTATAGTAGCTGGCTTGAAGAGCAATTACACTCCTGTTTCTTCACATATAGATACTAATACTGATACTATGACAGTTAGCTTAAAGAGCAATCATGCTCCTGTTTCTTTATGTGTGGATACTAATACTGATACTATAGCACTACATCCATCATTATTGCCTCTGCCAAACTATAATACATACTAAAGCTAGGTAATGACTTTGGTAGGCATTTGCTGTTACACTTGCCTTTCAATCAAATAATACTTACTGAATAAATTCAAGGATTGTTTGATGCACCTTCCCAGAATCAGACCAGATAACCACAACTCTAAGATAAGAAGCACTCATTAGTACAGTCTAACCATTAATTACAAGATGCACATTTCTTACACAATTCTAAATGTATTTAATTAGATGTAGAAGGAAAAAAGTATATTTGTACTTACCTTGAAGTAGTTCCTTACTTGAATTGACAAGCCAGTATAAATGACTTTAATGTTGCTTGAAACAGTGTCAGGGCTCAGTAGAGATACACTAGGTTAGAGTATTACAACTTTAAGTGTATAATAGTAATCCTTCACAAAATTGAAGGGCTGGTTGCTTTTTACACAGTAAAGAGTAATAAGAGTACAATGAGTAGCTTCAGAATAAATAATAGGTGGTTGGGTAGCATTTGTTGTATGACCTCTTGAATTAGTACAGACAATAGCAGAATTAAGGAGTAGTAATGTACTGTTCTTTGTACTCATTTGTACACACTTGATTTCTTAGTAGTTTGGACTGTCATACATACAATTGAAGATGAAGAAGATTTTCCTCATTCTATTATGCTCAACATGTCTGACAGAAATGTTATAGTGCTGATATGCTAGAGAAGTCCATTTAACATAGTAGGGAGCTGAATATACAAGAAGTTATTATTATTTGACCAATATTAACACATATACATTTAGAATAATATAATCTGCATTACTAATAAAAGAACTACAATACAGAGCAAAAAAAAGATAGAAAGGAAGAAAGGAAGAAAGTATACCAAGTATTTCCTCATCATTCATATCCCAAACCTCCTCATCTGTCATGTCATACACTGAACTGACAGTCTTCCTCTTCCTTTTTGGAGCTAATAGAATAGCTGCTGGGGCTGGTGCTTCTGCCAGACATTTATGAAATTCAGCTTGATGTGCTGATGGTATGGATGGTGTGGGAGAAGAAGCACCAGGGGTAGAAACCAGAACTCTGGTACAATTATAATGAAACTGAGCATAGATACTAGTAGGAGATAGAGAAGAATAGCTTTGAGACATTTTTTTTGGGCTTAGAGTATGTATTAGAGTAAGATGTAGCAAGTAACGAGTTCAAATGAGTGTCTTCGGTTAGAGTATTTTTTTCCCTCAGCATCGGTGGACACGCAGTAAACCACGGTAACCGTGGGAATCCTTACCGCGGTACGGTTACCGTGAGAGTTTCCTTACCGCGGTATGGATCCACGGAAAACCCCATCCATTCTAGGGCCTATCTTCGGAGGAGAACGGGAAGTTATTGCATCACGTGCTGTGTCATAATGAAGGAATTGTAATATTAATTTCTCCTCGGTGAGGCTGCTGAGGCTGCTGAGGCATAGAAAATTAGGAATACATTATGTGAAATTCTAAGGGGTAATATTTGACAAATAAAACCAGTTTGTTATGAATATTTACTAGATAAAAGCGGCTTAGAGATAAGGGAGCAGGTGGAGTTGGTGAATCTTGTAATTATAATGAATAATTCTTTAGCCGTGCGAATTATCTACTTGTAACCGTGAGAACAAACTGACACGAGTACAATCTCACCTTTCAGTGAGTGACAATCTCCTTAATTATGATGAACATGTCTTAACACTCTTTCGACTTGGCCGAGTCCACGAAAACGTCATCGGGAAGGAAATTTCCAGATGACGAGAAAATCATGTACAGAATCGGCATTGTTTGAGTTGAACTGAGAGGGGCGAAGTATTGCGGTCAATAAAGAGAAGTAGAAGACTGGATAGGACCGCATCCCCCGATCATCAATGATCACGGTGAATCGCAAAGGGAAATGATTCGCATTCAATGGCTGCTACAACGAGGCTGTGAGTAACTAGCGGAACCAATGTTGATAGACACGATTACTACCAGAGCGAATGGATGTTGTAAGGAATTAGAAATAAAAATGCACAGTAACAGGTTTCGCTCATCCATCACCAGATAGCAGGCCTACTCGCACAGATTATCGGATGAAGGCGGTTCTGTTAATGGACATACTCTAGAACTACTACGAGGCTCAGATATTCTGGAACAGATCAGCGATTTGCTTTTTGGAGATTTCCTGATGACATACCCGGTATCTCCTAATTCTCCTGAATACAACTAATAATGATGGCATGCATTGAGCATTAGTGGGTTTCATGTCAGCACTTTATCCCATCCAGCAACCGAGCCTTTCTTGTGAGGCTCATAACAAGTAAATGCTCTGACTGACCACCTAGCCTTTTCTCATCGTGATAGTGTTACCAAGCCAGCCAAGGCCATTGAGCAAGTATCCTAGCACTCGAGAATTCCCAGTTCCTGTCCATCTTCCTCCCGACTAGAATCAACGGACGAAAGTGATGGTAGTTGTTGATAAAAAGAAACGTTGAGAGAAATGCAAAGATGAGCATACCATTTCTGGAATATTCGGCATCGCGCATCAATGACTGGTTGAACTCCGCCGGAAAATGATGATCGTAGCAATTCTTCGTTCGAGGACACCGACACAGGCAACGGACTCGAGAGTCGAGATCGTCGTCTATGTAACGGAACTGCGATGTACACTTCCTGCAAACAAGTGCTATACAAACACCATCTGGAATCAATCTCTGAAATTGCTATCTCTGTTTGTAGACTTCGGCTCAGCAGCTCGCCGGTTGGCTCTGGCGCTTGCTTCTCTCTTCTGCTACTGCTTGCATTCCTGCAACACTGGTATATCGAGTTTAGAAAGCCTCGTGCTATGTGCACAATATTCATACGCATGAGGAATTGCCAATCTGTGCTCTTGGTTTCAAAGAGGACAGCCAGAGCGCTTATTGAAGTACTGTTTAAAGAGAGTCGTTTGCCAATGAAGACAAGGCGATTTTCAAATTGCGGGAGGTAGAACTTCACTCTGACTATTTATATTTAACCTGAACTATCGGGAATCGCCTAGCTATGTCCGATTTTTGACGTTATCCGCTCGGTTTTATAATTTGGTATCTGAAACGATTTACAGTTGAAAATATCTTATTGCATAACGTCGGGAGAGGCCTCAGACCTATGCAATATGAGCAATATGCATTATGGTAACCGTGCGAAAACATTACTTAATTAGGAACCCAAAATTCGATATTACTTTTCAATTTATTTGAAGACATATACACTATGACAAGAAAATAAGCACATATTTAGAGCATCAAGAAAGACAACCAAGACAATGACAAGTACAGTAAATGTGTATATCACTGTAAAACTCAAGAAATAGTTTG